TTTTTGATTGATTTGATATAAATCAAATCAATGTGTTTTTTTAATTGATTTGATATAAAAATCATTTGATATTGATTTTTAATTGATATTAACACTGACATGAACTACTGTTCTACCAAGGCTTATTTCAGCTACCCCATTTTGTGTGTGTGTGTGTGTGTGTGTGTGTGTGTGTGTGTGTGTGTGTGGTTACCAGCCTTGCTTCTTTTTGGGTTTTTTTTCCCAGCTTCTGTCCATAAACTGATTTTCATCTACTAAACAGAATATTGCATATTCTATTTTTATGTTGCTGATAGCTACCCTTTCCTTATCAAGATTCATAGTGATTTTTCCCTAGCTATGCTTAAAGCTTTTTAAAACATATTCCTCCACTGCCCATCTCAAATAAAATTAATACTTTAACATGCTCTCAACTTCCCTTTGTTTCTCCTTCCGTATATTAATACCACCTGTAATTTTTATCCAAACATTATGGATGCACTTCTTTCTTTATTATGGCCTATGTAAAGAACAGTGAACTTTCTTTGTTCTCCTTTACTTTTGATATCTAGTTGTTTGCTCATGTATTTCTTTTATTTTCCACTAAGATAACCTCTCTAAAAGATTTTTTTCAAAGAGATACTTTGGGTCCAGCACTGTGGCTTACTCCTGTAATCCCAGCACTTTGGGAGGCCGAGGCGAGTAGATCGTTTGAGGTTAGGAGTTCAAGACCTGCCTGGCCAATATGGTGAAATGCCATCTCTACAGAAAATACAAAAATTAGCTGGGCATGGTGGTGCACACCTGTAATCCCAGTTACTCTGGAAAATGAGGCGGGAGAATTACTTGAACCCAGGAGATGGAAATTGCAGTGAGGCGAAGTTGCAGTGAGCCAAAATTGCAGTGAGCCAAGGTTGCACCCCTGCACTCCAGCCTGAGCAACAGAGTAGGACTCCTTCTCAAAAAAAAAGAGAGAGAGAAACTTTGTGTGACATTCTCTTTGAGAACTTATCTCCATGTTTAAAATCAGGAGAGGGAACAAATGACTCATTCCGATTTACTGTTTTGTTGTCTATGGGGCCGTTTTTGCAAATACTTGGTATAACATAAAGCATTATATTAATTGTTGGAATTCTTACTATTTTTATTTTTTACTCAGTTCTCTTAATAACTGGCATGCCTCTATTTCTTTTGTACCAGTTTTTTTCAGAAATTTCAATTGAGTATGTCAAAGGAAAAATAATTACATGTAAATTCTCATTTAGGAAAGGCCTTTATATTTGGGGATCAAGATCTAGTTATGAATATATGGTATTTTTATGGAAATAGCTTTATTGAAATATAGAACATATATCAATAGTTCATCAATTTAATATATATAATGCAGTGATTTTTGGTATACACAGTTATGTAACCACCACCAAAGTAAATTTTGGAAACTGTCATCACCTCTGAAAGAAATCCTATGCCTTTTAGCAGTCCCCGTACCCCACATTTTTCTTCAGCCCCTCCCCATGACACCCATCTCCTAGCCCTAGGCAAGAATTAATCTACTATCTTTATAGATTTTACTGTTTTGGACATTTCATACAAATAAAACTATATACAATGTGATCTTTTGTGATTAGCTTCTTTCACTTAGCATAATGTCTTTAAAGTTGATATATGTTGTAGCACGTGTCAGTGCTTCAGTCATTTCTATTGTCAAATGATAGTCCATTGTATGGATGTGGCACAGTTTGTTTATACATTAATTAGTTGGTGGTTACTTGAGTTGTTTCCACTTTTTGGATACTATGATGCCACTGTGAACATTTGTGTAAAAACATTGTATAAACATGTTTACATTTCTTTTGGATATATGTCTAAGAGTGGAATCACTGGATTATATCTTGTTGAAAAGGACTTTCTTTCTCCATTGAATAGTCTAGAGACCCTTGTTGAAAAGCAATTTACCATAACCATGAGGATTTATTTCTGGACTCTCAATATTATTCCACCAATCTATTTATCTATTTTTATGACAGTACCACACTGTCTTGATGACTCTACCTTTGTAGCGAGTTTTGGAATCTAACAGTGTAAGTCATCCAACTTTGTTCTTTCTTTTTCCCGCCCCCCGCCCCCGCCCCCCGAGACGGAGTCTCACTCTGTCGCCCAGGCTGGAGTGCAGTGGCGCCGTCTCGGCTCACTGCAAGCTCCGCCTCCTGGGTTCACGCCATTCTCCTGCCTCAGCCTCTCCAGCAGCTGGGACTACAGGCGCCGCCACCACGCCCGGCTAGTTTTTTTTGTGTTTTTGGTAGAGACGGGGTTTCACCCTGTTAGCCAGAATGGTCTCAATCTCCTGACCTCATGATCCGCCCACCTCGGCCTCCCAAAGTGCTGGGATTACAGCCAACTTTGTTCTTTTTAAAGATTGTTTTAGAGGTTGAATTTGAACTTGCTAGGTCTTGGGAACGATCGAAATGTTTAAATTGAGTTTAAAATATTATTTTTCAAAATTCCTTTACATACACTATCTCAATCTCATTTGAGTCTTAAGTCAATCATATAAAATAGGAAGAGCATATTTCATCTTTTTTTTTCTGTTTACTATTGAGGAAATTGAGGCTCTGAGAGCTTCAGACCTATGCTGAAGATCACAATTTCGGTCACCTAGAGCAAGAACCAGGGTTCAAATCTCATATTGGCCCAAGGGTTTCTTTCCCACATTACTTTTTATATGTGCTGGTTTTAGTTCAAATTGAGAATACATCTTAGACCTCAATATATCTATAGAATTTTTTTTGTAAAGAATAGAGTTCCTTAAAGCATAGAGTTAAAGTTCATATAGCATACTTTGATTCCAGGTACTCAGATAGTCATAGATAATAGTGGATATTAAGGAAGAACTTTCACTTGGAAAGCTATAGACTCTCTTAGTATATCAGAGTATTCCAGCAGTTATCCATTGTAATCTAAATAGCTATAAAGAAATCAAAGTGATTTACTAAATTGCAATAAACTCAGCACACAAGCTT